ATAAAAACGAAGGGAGTGTATATATATATATATAACATGTTTGAATCTAAATATCTTAATTATATTATAGCTGAGTACGGTACGCTTCGACTCTGTTCATCGCATCGTTCTTTAATTTAAAAGCGAGAAGCTAGCCCAAAATCATTTTCTTGCCAAAATGTATATAAAATATTATTTTATTTGGCTGGCCTGTTGTATTTTGTAGATTTCAAACAAGTGTATAAAAGATAAATATTCATTATATTGCAAAGAAATAATGCGTTGCATGCTGAAGTGAAATAAGAATGTCAAGCGCACGCAACCTTATATACCAATGATATTATTTAGGGAGAATGTCAAAAAAGACCCCCTAATAAAAAAAAAACCTCATAATGTTTGAAAATTTTACCAGTTATTAGGTACTGAATTAAAATTAAATTTCTAACAAAAATGATAAAATTGTTTCTTATTTAAATGCACAATATATACTAGCTAAGACCATGTATTTATTCTCACATTGTATATTATTCATTTATTTATAAAATACTATTTATTTTTTTATTTTACTTATTCATAACCTTTTAAATGAAATCAAGTAAATGTAAGAATACAAATAAGTAAAGTGAAGAAAATTAATAATATTTCATAAATAAATGAATAACATGTAATATGAAAATGAATAAATCATCTTATTTAGTGTGTGTTGTTCATTTAAATTATAGGGAATTTTATTATTTTTGTCAAAAATTTAATTTCAATTTATTACCTTATAATTGCAATGAATTTTTTTTAATATCTTTGGTCAAGGGATCTTTTCTGACATTCTCCGATCCTTGAAAAAAAAAATGGAGTTATGAGAAAGATATATAGTATGGCGTGAAGTGAACAATATAGTATAATGCATGAATACATTTATAACATATCACGTGTGAAATGCAATAAAAAAAATGTAGGTAACATGTTGAATGCTAACATCTGAAATACATATGTATATATGTTGTTGATGAGACGTTAAGAAAAGGAATGAAATGAATTCCGGTCGACATGGGAGCTGAGTTGAGAAGGGAAAGGGAAAAGAATCACGTGCATAATTGGAAGTGTCAAGAGAAAGCAGCGACGGTGACGAGACTGCGTTCCCATTACACGCCTTTCGAACTTGTCTTCGTGCGCGTGGAAAGTATCCGTGCCACGTAATGAAATCCGGGACCCACAAGTTCCTTGATGCGCTGCGCTGTCCTTACCTGATTGTGCAGCCAAACGAGCGGGACCCGGTTTTAGACGATAATCGCAACTGCTTTGACCCTTTCTTCCACGTCCCTTTGACTTAGTCCACCTCCTCTCCAGTCTTCACTCTATCCGTATTTTAATTTTTACATTACATTATTTCTTCATTAATTATTTTTATGAATAATATACTCATTTCTATCTATCCATTTTATTATAACATGCCAGTTACTCTCGTCTTCGTCATTAATCTAAATAATATGGTTTATTAATTTATATATATTAATTATATTGACTACAATTGATGATTACTGCATTCACTTGATTTAAATATATTAATTAATTTTAAAATTATGTATTAATTATTTTTAAATTTTCAAGTTCCACAAAATCAATTATTTTTGTCAAAAAATAATTCATACACTTGCTTTTAGTTCAAAGACTGGAAGCTGATTGGACAGCATTTAAAAATAAAGAAACAAGATCTGTAATTTTTTTTTCTTTTTGAAAAAGCTGCGAGTTATTTCAAAAATTAATTTTCTATATATATAATTAGTAGTGTTTTATTTAGTCTGTTACATTTCAAGCAGTGCGAAAGTTGTCATTGATCGCTTGGAGTCCAAGGTATCATTAGATGGCAGGTCAGTTTTAGCTTGGCTACAAAATGACACGGCAACGCAAATCGTTTTTTCCCCTTTTACCAATAACTTAAATGATTAACATTCATATGAAAAAAAAAAAAAGTATTTAAGCCTGGTTTATGTGATAATTATAGAAAAATAATAAGAAAATTGTAAAAAAGCAGCTGTACTTCGGTCTGAAAGTGAAGAATTCTGATGCTTGGCCTGGCGAAGAAAAATGCACGGGCGGGGATTATTGAGGGAAGCTAGCTCTACCCCATTTTTATACACTCCTTCTACCCTCGCTCAATTTATTGCATTACTCATAGTCTCATATAGTTTTCAAATATATTTCTGTTGATTGAGAAATTTGAACGCTGATATAATCATTTCATATAAATAACAGTGCTCTCCTTGACAGAGGAGATCTTCTAACGACATTCATGACTTTTTTTTTTTTTTTGGGTCAACCTTGCGTGTGCGCGTGTGTGTGAGAGAGGGATCAATGTCAGCAATTGTTTTTTATTTTTTGGGGTACAATAAATTAACTTGATGATCACAGAAATATTTTATATTGATTCAATTAGGCCCAATTTTCAACATACAAAGTAGGCCCGTTTGTACTAAATGAACCCAATACAGAAGCGAGTGGTCTTTCTGGGTAGAGACAAGCAGTCGTGAATAAGAAAAAAGTAAAGGCAGAAGCTAAAAGTTGGCCCAACAACAACATTTTTGGGCGAGGGCATTTGACTTTAGGGATCGCTTCAGAGGGGAAAAATGAACGTTAGATAATAAATAGAAATAATATATAAAAAAGTTTTTTTATTAAAGTATAATTTATCTACGAAGCATAGCTTAGTTGCGATTTTTTTTTATCAAGACATTCCTAGAGATTATCAAAATATACCAAACATTGTTTTTGAGATATTTCTTCATATTTCATGTTTTCATAAGTATTTTACTACATTTTAAAGTTTATATAGTGTTTCCATAATTAAGTCATGATGTCTTTTTTTTTTTAAAAAAAATCAAAATAACATTTCATTACACCGTAAACGAGCCTCATGATTAAAAATCTATAATGAACACAAACAACACAATTCATTTCAGGCTTTATATGCAACTTATAGAACCCATGATATTGTACGATAATAGCATGCAAACGACAGGAATATAAATTGGAAAACATGTTCCAACCCACTTGGCCGGTTCACCTATAATCAACTGCATTTTTCATATGTGTTTGGAAGTATCAAAATAAAGTGAAAAGGCAATGCTTAAATTGGCTCCCATGTTTCCTCATTCCAAGGCTAATCACCACCAAATATTGCAATTTTCCTTCTTTCAGTCGACTCACCTCAATCCAATGTCCAGTTGTCGCTTTGCACTATTTTTCATTTTGGAAATGGACCCACACGATGATCGTTTTTGCCCCATCTTTTCAAAAACATAACCTTGATATCGTCATCCCAAATCTAATACACGTATACAACAACTTCGCCGCTCCCATGTAAACATTTCCTTCTCTGTTTTTTTCTCCCCTCTTTTTTTTTGAATTGGACCCACGTGGCCGTCTTGCTTTAAGGACGTTCAGCCATTCTAGTTTAAGGAATGAGAACTGAGATGCAACTAATCAACCCTTGCCTGAAAGGTGCACTGCAGTTGTGTATTGCTTTAAAAAAAAAATTAGATACTGATACAAATAAGACACAACTAAAACAAGTTTCATCTTGTTCCTCCCATAATGTGGTAGGAGGATGATAATAAAAGAGGCAAGAATTCCCTATCAAAGTATGCAAGTATCTAGCTAAAGAATCAACTTTCCTATTATAATGCCTGGTAATATATGAATAAAATAGAATTGACCCTTCTTAAAAAGGAAAAACTGAGCTTGATTGACAATATCCTTAAAAAGATAATTAGCATCACACCCCTGACAATGAAGATAATAACGTCAGAGTAGTCCTCAAAATTTTAACCTTAGAGATATTTCTCTCCCAACAGATAATTAGCCCCTGTATAATTCAATGATACTACAATTGTTTTTATAGTGAGATAGAATGACAAATAAATAAAAGAAAAACCTAAAGTTTGAAGGTCAAAAAGTTAGAATATAAGATAGAAGAGAGGTGGTGGTTATTTAAGGTAATGAAATTTGTGCGGATAAGATCATGAGGTTTGCTTGGAAACTTATTTTGATTTTCATAACGTCATGAACATAATTAATCTTAACCACAGCCGTAAAGACTAATTAAATCAAAGTCGCTTTCATGAAGATAAGCCGTGGGCTTCATTTTGCTTTCATCCCCCTTGCTTGCTTCCTCTCCTCACTTCCCCTTTATTTCATTTCACATTTAGGTGTGTTAGGTCGACAGTTCATAACCTCCTTTCCCATAATAACTCCCATTATATTTTTTTTCCAAAACATAAAATAAAACTCTAACATGTACCTCCATACTTTTATGTTTTGCGATGGATTCATCTTGCAATGTGCACTTAACATGAAAGCTCTAGGCATTTCTATAGGCAAGGAAATAGGTGGTAACAGAATTTTCCTATTGTTTTCTTGGATGATCCTTCTGGCGAACAATGATATGGGTGAAACACTGAAAGTCATCCCAGGGAGATTTTGACGGCACATGAAACTTGGCCAGGCAAAAAAGAAGACTTGGTCTCACTGCAATACGGAAGACACTAATTGATAGTTAAATAAATCAAGACTGAGTTATCTGTACAAGTAAACGAAACTATACATGAAACAAGTACCAGTACTGTATAGAATGAATTAAAATAGGAATTAATGGCACATGGGAGAGGGAGGCCCGGGGGGGTGGGAAGAGAGGAGTTGATGTCGAAATAAATGGGAAGGGAGAGGGATCAAAATCAAAACTTTTTAGGTTATGTTGTCATTGCAACCAAACAAGCTTACTTCTCTGGATGAATATAAACACAGATCACCTTCCATTAATATTCTATACAGCAAAGAACTGGACCATTTGCTAGAGTGGAGCAATTTATTTATTGTGCCCGAGGAAGCAAGAGAAAAGTAACCAAGTGGTCCATCAAATTTCAAAGAACCTCCATTAGAGGACCCACGTGTCCAGCTTATTGTGGGCCCTGTGCGCCTATTATCCCAACCTGGATAGAATTCCCAAATGCTTTGGCCTGAATAATTCCCAAATGTCGCAGAACAGGAAGGTCACTTTGGGAACACACAAAATCTCTAATGGCGCTTCTTTCATGCAAATTCTTACCTTCTTTATTTTCTTTTAAATTTTTTATTGGGGAGCAGCGACTTGTCATTTTGTATTCTGTGGAGAGTATTAACTGTATTACCAGTTTTATTTATTTTTTTTCTTTTTCGTACTGTTCAATGCCAATTGATGCAGCAGTTCAAAGCACAAGGCTCAAGCCTGTCTACTGTGTTCCTTCCTTCCTTCCTTCCGTCAGATTCTTTGCTCTCTGTTTGGTTCTTGGAATCTCATTCAAAAGTGTTTGATTCCTTCTCACTGGCACTCCCGCACTTCTGGTTCCGAGTTTCAATTCCATGTGGCCAACCTTCCAGAACACTTTAACTGCTTCAACTTTTTTTATCTCCCGGATTAACCGGTAATTCCTGGCCCAGAATCTCTTAATTGTGTTTCAAGTATTTTTAAAAAAAAATGCTCTTTTTGCCGGTCAACTTCTTCTTTCTTTTTTTGTTTCGATCTGTAATAAGTCTGCTCTGTTCCGTGCACTTTGTATTGGTATGTGGATGCTTGCGTGGGCTGGTTCTCTTTTTGTATTGTCCTGTTTGGTTGCCGAGAAAAAAAGCCGGGTTTGCTGAAAGCAAAGGAAAGAGAAACGTTTGCTGCATTTGGCCAAGAGGCTGTTTTGCTCGCAGTAGGAATTTATCAACGGTTCGAACCAATTTTCATCAATCTGATCTTCATCCTCCCCCCTATGCTCTCTCTTTTTTCTGTTTTCTAACCGGAAAATCTATGTCGACTAGATACCGGATCAGGGGTTACACAGAAAACCACAGTGACTTTAGGTAGGTAGCGCATCGAGCTTCTTTCTTTCTTGTTCTGCTTATTCTACAAAATTCCTTTCTCCTACCGAGAAATCCTTGGTTCTCCTGTATTTATGTGATTTCATGGGATTGACTTTTGAAGTGGCATGGAATATTCACGTTTGAATCATTCGTATCTGATTTGTTTAGTGTTCAAAATATAATGCATATCAGCAGTCAAAATTTTCAACCCGAGACTTTTATCCTATGAACGCCGTAAGGTTTTTCTGAGCACATTTTCACATTTTGGGGCATATATAAACTCTTTGAATGGCTTATAAACAGCGAACTCCAAAGTAATAGTCTCCAGTTGACCGCTTAATATTCAATTCAATAAACCAAGCACCACAAAAAGAAAAGCTTAATATTTTGTTTGTACCCTCTGCTATGTCTGATAAATGTCATGGCTTTTGGCAGGTCTGTGAATGGATGGGATTATCAATAAGGAATAAGCAATCAAAGCAAAACGCGAGAGAGAGGAGATGAGGGAGGAATCAACAGGACTGATCATTGGGATTTCAATAGGCGTTGTTATTGGTGTCGTTTTGGCTATTTCTGCACTTTTCTGTGTCAGATACCATAGTAAGCGCTCGCAGATTGGGAATAGCAGTTCAAGGAGGGCGGCCACGATACCCATCCGTACAAATGGTGCTGATTCTTGTACCATGTTATCAGACTCAACCTTAGGCCCAGAATCTCCTGTTAAGTCTGGACGTAGTGGCATGTCCTTCTGGTTTGATGGCTTTAAGAGAAGCAACGTCGTTTCAGCTTCTGGAATACCCGAGTATCCTTACAAGTATGTCTTTCTTCCGAGGTTTTTTCTTCATGTTCCTAGTATAGCAGTGCTTCATTGTGTGAAGAAGGACTACTCGGTGAATTTTTTCCAAGATTTGAGTTCACACTTCTGTGATTTTGATATTTCATCTTATTGTCTTTCTGTTTAACACTTTCATTTTCACTTCAGGGATTTGCAGAAGGCCACAGGTAACTTTACAACTCTCATAGGACAAGGTGCATTTGGTCCTGTATATAAAGCTCAAATGTCTACCGGCGAGACAGTTGCAGTTAAAGTTCTTGCAACTAATTCTAAGCAAGGAGAGAGAGAATTTCATACAGAGGTTGGGTTAATTATAGCTAACTATTTACCTCTCAAGTCATTCTCTGATACAATTTATTTATTTGTTTTTACTTCTGGAGGAAAAATGTGTCCGAAGTGGTCAATCGATGAAAATTATGGAGAGTGTCGGACAGCAGTAGTACACAAGAAAACATTGAAGTTTTGTGAATGAAAGTTGTGCAGCTTTTTTGTTCTCACACGATCTACTTTTCGTGTGTTCTTGAATGAAATATTTCAGGTAATGTTGCTGGGAAGGCTGCACCATAGAAACCTGGTTAATTTGGTTGGATATTGCGCAGAGAAGGGACAGCATATGCTTGTATATGTCTATATGAGCAAAGGCAGCTTGGCTTCCCACTTGTACAGTACGTTAGCCTCCAGACTCATTTTGAGTTTCATGTTTTATCAGTTTAAAAAAGGAAAAAACGAAAAGAAGGAAGCTTCAATAATGCACTCTTGTTGACCCTATATCCAGGTAAAGAGAAGGGAGAAATGAGCTGGGATTTGAGGGTTCACATAGCTCTAGATATAGCGAGAGGCTTGGAGTATCTTCATGATGGGGTAGGTTGATTTCCCAGTTACTGATATGCATCAACCCATACATAGTGTTTATTTCTTCACAATCCCATGTTATGCCACCTCAGGCAGTTCCTCCGGTAATCCATCGAGATATCAAGTCTTCTAACATTTTGCTAGACCAGTCCATGAGAGCCAGGGTAAGTGTTGTAAATTACGTTTCTCTAAATGACCAAGTGAAATCTTGCCGTGGAATTGTGAGTTAATGCTGATGAACCAAGCAGGTTGCTGATTTTGGACTCTCAAGAGAAGAGAAGGTGGACAAACATGCAGCCATCCGAGGTACCTTTGGGTATCTAGACCCTGAGTACATCTCCTCGGGAACATTCACCAAGAAAAGTGATGTGTACAGCTATGGAGTGTTGCTTTTTGAACTTATAGCAGGCAGAAATCCTCAACAAGGTCTAATGGAGCTAGTCGAGCTGGTAAGAATAAGATCGGTGTGTGTGTGTGTGTGTGTGTTCATTTCTGAATTCTGAGGGTAATGGAAGGTGATGGTGGATGAACAGGCAGCGATGAACAGCGAGGGGAAAATGGGGTGGGAGGAGATAGTGGAGTCAGGATTAGAAAGTGAATATGACGTGCAGGAGCTGAATGAAGTGGCAGGGCTTGCATACAAATGCATAAATCGTGCCCCAAGGAAGCGACCATCCATGAGAGACGTCGTGCAAGTGCTCACAAGAATCCTTAAAACAAGGCAGAGTAAAAACCGTCACAGGAAGGGATTGTCTTTGTCTACTACCGCAGATGAAGTCTCCATTGATGTGGATCACCCTGAAGCTAGGATTCACCGCAGAGATGAATCTATGGATAGTGCACCTGACACCTATGATGTGTAGAATAACAATGCTCTTAACTTCTTTTCTGGGTTACTTTTTTTTTTTTTTTTTTACTTTTCAATTTTGGGTTTTGCTGTCATATATATGTGGTCCTCCTAGGCGAGTCGAGTTTAATTTTGGGTTTTATGGCAAACCTGTTTATGCCCTGCATTCTCAACTGTAATTTTCTTTTTGTAACATGTTCCTTTTTTGTGAATTTTGTTCATTTTACCTCTTTGGGTTGTTTTGGAAATATTACGCTCTTAAAATATTACCTCATGAATGCAAGTGAAGATGAAGGAAGGGGGTGGGGTGGAAGAAAGATTCCATGCCCCCCAGATTTCTGTATCTGATTTCCTTTTCAATAACTGCTAATGAGTTGTGCAATGCATCACTTGGATTTTTTTTGCCCCCGGACCTGACATCACTTAGAGTTGACTATACTAATTCCTTAAAAACTTTGTAAGATTACATTACGCCCTAAAATATTTTTATCTAGAAAATGACATCCAGCTGCCTTAATATTTCCAATCTACCAAAAGCTTTTTTAAAAAAAATCATTTTTTGTCTAAAGTTAACCTTTTCGGCATAAATGTATTGTTTCTCAAGAAAAATATCTAATTTCTTTTATTGAATTTCAAAATCACATTGGTTAAAAAAAAAAAAGCAAGAAAGAAAGAATTTCAAAATCACAAATGCGTATCATTTTCCTTGCACTATTCTCATGAATAAGTTAGCAAACGCCACAGAAACGCAAGGAAAAAAAATAAAATTGCTTAAAAATTAAGAAAGAGCTATTAATGAAACTTTTATACTTATTAAAAATATAAAAATTAAAATAATAAATATTTGATAACATAAATTAACATTAAAAAACTGTCCAATTGTACTTAAGTTCACTGAATCCTGAACTCCGTACTTTATTGTCCCACAAAAAATAAAAAGGAAGAAGACGACAAGAGATCAGGAGATTGGCATAGATTGGGCCAAGCTCAGCCCACATCTTAGTACCTCAAACCATTTCGAGAGCAACCGGCCAAGGACACGTCGTCGTTTTGAAGTTTTTCCCTCGCACTCGCAGGTCTTCCCTGCGGATAATCCATTATCACCAAAAGGGGACAGAGAAGCAGAAACAAATTCAAGCCTCAGTAGCCATAGACGGGGAAGCAGTGAAAAATGGCTGCCATGGCTGCTCTTCAGAGCTCCTTCACCTATCTTTCCCTTTCCTCCAACAGTTTCATGGGGCAACGTCTCTCCCCTATCACTCACTACCCCGTTCCGGTACGTTACAATATTCTGTTCCCAGCCATTTTCCCAACTGTCTCTATTCTCTTTTAGTGTAACTCAAACGTTTATTTCGTTTAAATTTCACTCATAAACTATAGTGGTATTTTCTGGCTATCTTTCGATGGGTCTTTCACATTAGGGAGCAGCTGTGTTTGTGGGTAATTGGTTGTCATTGCCAATTTGTTTCGGGACTCCCATTTGAAAATTGGCGATAATGCCAAACTGTGTCTTTCACGAATTCTAATGCGTCGTGTGTGTTTTGTTTGATTAGCGGGTTGCGATAATTACATTGTACTCTCTCGTGCTTGGTTATCTACGATACGCTCTCGTGCTTGGTTATCTGCGAATTTGTTAAGCTATCTTTGTCTAATATACACCTATTATTCAAGTTTCGATATATATTTATTTGTGCTAGAATACATTGCCATGTTTTATATAATTAATATCCCATATCATAAAAGTAAAAATTAATGTGTTCGACTTGAATATGTCATCTTAGAGCTCTATATTCACGTTTGTTTCCTGGTTCCTGGACTGTAATTAATAATCCCTGATATAAAGGTCAAAAATTGATTAATTGGTTTGTTCAGAATGGTTTGAGGGTTTTTTCATTTGTCAAGAGAGAAGTAAAGTCCTAGTACTTGTCAAGTTGGATTCAGATATGGTGCAGTTTAAGATTAGAAACTGCGATGAAATGCTTGTCTACAAGGTCTCCATAATTTTCTTCACTTGTCCATTGTCTAGCTCCTAAAAAAATTGGACTTGCAGGAGGACTAATAATTCATGGTTTCCTGGTGCAATTTTTGATTTCGTATCTCTTCGAGAGATGAGATGAAAACTTGCAAAAGTCTTATGTTTGGACGTAATTGGAAATTTTGAAATACCAAGGGAAGTTAACAGATACTGGGGGGGGGGGGATATCATAGATAGAGCTTTCATCATAAAGATGTAGTCCTTGGCGAGTGAGCCAATTAGCATATTTGTCAACTTCCCTTGACAATGGCATGCGGTCAAAAGTAACTATCCAATAACGCATTAATAATTCCCTGACTTATCTGATAACATTGATGAGCTGGTGGATTTGGAGTTTTTGCTGTTGAAAAATCTTAGGGCCTTGGTAGAATCTGTTTAAGCCACAATTTTCCAGCGACCCTTATTCCAGTTGAGTTCAGGACCTTTGAGATAATCTGATTGGTCAATGACTTTCAATATTCTAATTCTTTAAATTTCTTTTGCTGATCAATTTGTTGCAAGATGTTGTTGCAGTCATATTATTCTTATTTTTTGTCAAGTAACAAAGAACAACTCGATAAATTTCATTGCCATAATAATGAGATGACTTGTTGCATTGAAGAAAATAAGTTCTTGATTACTGTATCTTCAAAATTTCATTGTGGCATCCAAAATGAACCCTGAAAAACATTTCATAAAGATTATAAATAAATTTTCATTCACATGTAGTTCACATATTGGGAAGACTAATTTAACATCATTTGTTGTTTCATGCAGGGCAATTCAACAGAGAAGCCATGCCTCACTGTAATGAGGGTTAGTTTCTGATTCTCTTCTGTTGAAAAACAAAGTGAACTAAAAAAATTAAGGAATGCGAGATGGAATGGACACTATTTGTGAGATGAGATCTGAAAATGCCCTGCTGCAGTCATTTGCTGTTTGTTATTTATTGGAGACATTCAAATTATGCCAATATGATGTAGAATATTTGCTAATATCCTTGTGTGTGTGCGCGCGCACATGTTTTGCATGTTTGTATGTTTGTTGTGTAAGATTTCCTGTTCCTCCTCTGACAGCTTAAACGATGGGAGCGAAAGGAATGTAAGCCAAATAGCCTTCCAGTCTTGCATAAAATGCATGTTAAAGTTGGGGATACAGTGAAAGTAATATCTGGACGTGAAAAAGGTAAAATTGGAGAGATTACTGAGGTCTTCAAGCATAACAGCACTGTCATTGTGAAAGACACAAATTTGAAGACAAAACATATGAAGAGTAGAGAAGAGGGTGAACCAGGGCAAATCATTAAGGTAGGTTCCATCACCCTTTCCTGAAATAATGAAATTAGTGTTCGTTCGCTCTTTGACCTTTGTATATTCTGGAAAGCTTGGATGTGCATTGACAGCGTAAATTTAACACGTGCACGATCTTCATTTACTTATTTGTTCCCAAGGATGACTAATAATATCACCTACTGCATGGATTTGAATTTGAATACATGTTATGTTTATGCTAATTTTGGGAAGTGTTTTATTTTTTTCCAAGATCGAAGGTCCCATCCACAGCTCAAATGTGATGCTATACTCTAAAGAACAGAATGTGGCAAGTCGTGTGGGCCATAAGATTCTTGAGAATGGCAAAAAAGTCCGTTACCTAATAAAAACTGGAGAAATAATTGACACGGCAGAGAATTGGAAGAAATTGAAGGAGGCGAAAAAGAAAACTGAAGAAGTTGCTGCTTCATAATTTGACGGGTTGAGTTGATGCCTTCGCCAATATTGTTAACTCTAAATGTACTTAATACTGTTTGGTATTTAGTGTATATTTTTTGGTCTGTATGTTCATTTCCATATACAAACCCGAGTGGAGATTAATTGGTTTATTATTAATTGGCTGTTTTTTTAATAATTGACCCTCCTTGAGAGAAATTGTCCCAGCTTGCACCTCTGAAAATAGTACGGACATTATCCATTGCTACGCTCAATTCTCAAATGCAAAAGATCTTATTATTGTTTACTATGCTGCTAGTGTGCGATGTCTCTCCACGATGTTCACACTGCCCGAGAGTTTCTGCGATCTATACTCTTTAAGTCTTGACAGTACTTCTCAGTTCTCAAATATGTAGAGGTAATGATTGCCCTTGTTAAACCCGCATGTATTGTTTTTCTAGATACCTATGTCAATATCCCAACATTGCCGTTGTCCTGATGGGTATGTTAGGAGGTCTTGAACCCTCTGCTGCAATAGCAACCTTATTAAAGTAAATGTCTACCCCCAACTTAATGAAGCTCTCAAACTCATTCGGTATAATTTTTTGTGGAATCATCCACTCTTAGATATTATCATCAATAAAATTAATGACTTAGTCATGAGAGATTAAATTGTTTCTTTTAACCATGTTTTTAAATAAGTGAATAAATGTGTAGACTAACTTGCTCATCATGTGTCAAATGTTAACTTAGTCACTATAATTTTTGTAGCACTCTTCTTAGGATGTAGAAGTTTTATATGTTCTAACATGAACTGATTTTTCCCTACACAATTTCTGTAACTTTGTATCAAAAAATGCATGTATTTCCATATCAGATTTGAAATATGTAGTGTTATTTTTATATAGATGTCCGTGATTACTTTATAAAAGATCTTATAAAACCTGCTCCTGACATTCCATGGAAAAAGCCAAAAGGCTTTGGTTTTAGTCACAAGCATGGTTATGGAGATCATTCATTAGACAACTAATATGGTGATAAAGGTGAAGCTATTCACAATCTGATCCTCCAAGTCACGTAGACGTATATGTACTACAATTTTTGTAGGAACCTAGCTTTTGTATAACTTTCCACGCGCAGAAATGAAAAGTGTTATCCTTTGAATTCAAACAACATAAAATTAAAATGTATTTTTACTCTTCAAACTATGTTTAAAAGAGTACTCGATGTAATGTTTTAAATTATTTATTATAGCAATTTGATTCTTAAAGTAATTAAAAAGTACTTCATTCATTAAAAAATGTAAGATATTTTTGAGAGGTTAGATATTTAAAAATGTAAGGCATTTTTAATATTTTAAAATGTAATCATTATATTTTTTTTAAAAGTGCCCATATTAAATAGATTACTTTATATTTTTTTAAGGTGAAATACTTTATTAAATAAGGGTAAATATGAAAAGATGAAGTTAGTTTAAAAATAAATAACTACTTTATTAGTGATAAGATTTGATTAAAAATACTTTACATTTGTAAATGGAAGGAGTAACATATTTACCTCTGATATTAAATATCCTAACATTGACTATTGAAAATACTAACTAAGAATTAAGTTTGACAAAAAAAATGCCACCTATCTCATGTCAAGTGAGTTCAAAAATATGGTACCTTTTAATTAGTTCAACAGTGAAGCTGCTGTACGACAAATAGTTTAAGACACTTAGTGGTTTTTGGAGAATAATTTAGGGAGCAAAAATATAACTCAACTTGAATCCACCTGTTATGACACATGATATTTTCAACGAAACTTGAGTTTTAGTCAATATTTTTATTTATCAACATTGGGATATTTAATATTTGAAGCAAATATGCTATGTTTTAATTATTGTAGAGGCGAAATTGTTATGACAAATAACTTAGAATTTTGAGGATTTTTTAAAAAATAGTTCAAAAACAAAAATTTAACTTAACCCGGCAATATAATTCCTTCTTTAGTGTTTGGTATATACATATGATATCCTACCTAGTTGCACGAATTCATTGATGCCATCGTCAATCGCAATAAGATGTTGTTCATGAGCTTAACAAGGAAACCTGCTACTCTCATCCGAATCGCATTTGAGTGACCCGATCTGACGTATATCTTAAATAGAAGGCTCGAAAAAAGAAAAAGGTGCACCCACCCAAATCGTATTTAAGAAAAATAAAATGTAATAATTTTCTTATCTCAAATGAGGCAAGCTGTAAACTGTTATAAATCTTGTAACTGTCAACTTACTAAAATTTTAACTTAAAATATATAAAGAGGGAAAGATTTTTTTTTTACCAAAAAAAAAAACGAGAGGCAAATTTGTAGATGCAGAAGATCTGAAGATGGACACACCTGACCTGAGACTGAGAGCATTAAGAACAGTGCAGGGGGCATGTGGCGCTTCGCCTGGCATTTGCTCGAGTAGCGGTGGTCCTTCAAAAGGTTGGGTTTGTGTGGATTACCACAACCAAATTGGCCCTAAAGCACGTTACCTTGAGAACAAGATTTTTATTTTTATTTTTATTGGAGGGGATTACTTTGAAAATTAACCCTGGAAGCAATTAGGGGAATCAGGACTGTAGGTAACCTGTCCACATTTTTTTAATAAGTAGAGGACAAAGCCTCTGCTAAAGCATCAAGCATGATCAGTATTCTGGTTTTTTTTTTTTTTTGCCATCAGTATTCTGGTTTAATAAACTGAGGATACTTTTTTGAATATTTTTCCCAAATCAGAAGTCTTCAATTATCACAAACATCACCATCCAATACCAATCCATGAGATATAAGTTACAATGGCGAGGGTAAATACAAGGGCAAAAAGGAGAAAGGTTAAGCTGGCAAGTTTTGTTATAGCAAATGCATGCCATTCTTGGACAGCTTTGAACTATCTGCTATCAGTGAGGTCTGTATCCTTCATTCATTAATTTCGCTCTTTCCATTTTCTTGATGACGCAGCTCTCAGCAAACTGGTCTGGTCTGGTGAGGTCTCCATCAAGCATTTAAGAGAGTCCCAAATGGTTCATAAACTGTCAGAATTTGCAAGATTAACGCAAGCCTTCACATGGCTAAGTAGTAGTTAATGAACTTGTTGCAGATTAATTGAAGCAAGCAAGCAAGCAAAGCACCCACCCGCCAAGCCTCTCAGACTCAGATTTCCAAAATGACTTCAAATTTTGAAATATCCGTAGGAGTTTGATCAAAGGCCTCCATTCTCAGTGCAGGAGGAGCATTATGAGGGGGTCAGCACACATTTATGAGGAGCATGTGCCATTGCCATGAAGCATTGAAAGCTGTACAGATGTTACAGTTGAATTCATACCAACCAACTCACGTCAGGAACATGCCCTCCACCTCCAGAGTAAAGACCCCCCCACCCCACAAGTAAAGAAGCTGACTTTGTAAAATTAGCCAAAATCTTATTTCTGTAAGATTGTACTCAAATACATGAAGACCTGACTTTGAAGGTCATTGCTATTACATCAGGTTGGCCTATTAGCTTTAAGTACGGGAAAAGTGACCCCATTGAAGAGTGACAAAGCATTTACAGCACGAGACAAAGGGGAAGAAGAGACAGAGAACATATACCTTGACTGTGGAGTGTGAATGCACCGCTTTTAGTGCTCGTTTAGATTTTAATTGAATATAATAAATTATAAAAATAATTGATCAAGTGATAAATTTTAATCATAATTAATTATATTATAATGTAATTTATTTGGATACTATTTTTCTAAAACTAATTTTAACAAAATTGAAGATGTTTGGATAATTTATTTAAAATTAACTTGAGCTATATAAATTACTATATAATTTAATTCTTAAATACCAAACATTAATTTTTTGAGAATATAAAGTTTAAATTTTATTAAATAAAAAGAGAAGAAAAGAAAATTTAACTTTATTTTTATTAAATTATGTGCTGTCTTTATAATTTTTTTGACCTTTTTTTATAATTTTTTTCAACATTTTTGGTTAGGCAAACGCTCGGTTTTTCAGCTTTTAAAAAAAAATAATTTTTGGCTCAAAAATCAATTAACCCATTTTATGGGTGTTTGGATAATTTTTGTTTTTAATTGGTTTTCCTTCAAATAATCAATTAAAAACATTATCCAAACACACGCTTAATCAGGCAGGATCAGCCTCTTCGAACATGAAACCTAATCCTCCAGAATGGACCACATGCCCTAGAGACTGCAACTTTTAGCCTCTTTCTCACTGGTTTGTGGGGCTGGGGGTTCTTACTTTTGAATGCAAGGCATAAATTAAATGACAACATTTGACTTTGTTTGGTGTTAGGAGGAAGATCCGCTCCCTTTTATGCTAATAACAAAAAATATAATATCCATTTTAGTACCATTACCTTCATCTTTAAAAATTTTAAAAATATGTATTTTTTATTATTTTAGTAAAATTATGGAGATTATTTTTAACTTCTTGTTATTGGCTTCACAATTACTTAGTTAAGCTAGATATACTCTAGTGCTTTCCCCCCCTTCCTTGATACATGATATACTCTAGTGCTTTATACTGTAGTAATTAGGTACTTAAAAGCCCATTATGGGGGAGAGGGATAGCCACGTGACTTTCACATAGAGAATATTTAGATTTAGATTTGTTGATTAACGTATGGAGTATGTGAAGATAAAATACTATCTTAATCTTAAGCGATGGATCAGTATCAATGGGGTTCAGGTTCATTGAGTCCTTCAATGAACTGATGAGCTATTAAAACAGAATCTAATCTTCGACTGCATTAAATTAAACCACCGCGTAGCTGGTCCTGGACTTCACATCTCAATTAAATGCTCCCACAACTAGCTTCATTCAATTATTGCAATGTGATAACTAGTACATCAGCTTAGCAAATTTACTCATTCCAACGACTAATTTGTCTCCCAACTCCAATTAATATTAGTCCTACATAAAAGTCATAACCTGCAGGCAACAATTAGGGTCATTAACTCTGAAATTCAAGACGACGACTTACCTTGGTACAATTTCTACCTTTTTACCAACTAGCTTGTGTAGGTGAAAAAATCAGCACCATTTAAAATGTTACAGGGGTATGAATAAGAAGTTCATACAATAAACAAGAAGACGACAAGTGACATGAACGAGAAAAATCTAATCTTTCCAAAAGATGAAGAGCATAGAACCTCCATGAAAAGGCCAAAACAGGGGATTTTCATTAAAACTGGGTGTAATTAATGTGTACTCCTTTTTCAACTGGATTTCTATGGCTTCAGGGTTTGCATATTACGACAAAGCAAGGAAGAAGAGCTCGAGGATTGAGCAAATAGAGCTCCTCTATGTTTGAATAAAGACCAACTTTACCGGCCAATGAATCAAACCCTGTTTGCCCTGCCATTTCCTGAATGTTCTCGAGAGGCCTATGAACCCTGCCAGCTATTACTCTGCAAACTATGAGTGCTTTTCTGATTGAGATGTCATCGTCAAGGATCTCAATAGATTCAAATGCTCTTCCACTCGTGGAAGTTGTGAAAACGCCTATTCCACCCTTGAGCTCCTTCTTTGCAGAAAACCCATTTCTGATAATTCGACAGACACTGCATTTTTCTGAGAGGCAGAGGCTGGAAGAGCCATTGAGACCAAGATTGCAGCACACGGTGGTGCCATAGAACCTTAGAAGTTCATTCCCGTCGGCAAGACACCGAGGATGTTTCTTCGGGAGTTTGCTAGCTTTGATCTTCACTATCTCTCTGTACTCTTCGAATCGAGCCAGTGTCTTTTGCATGTTATGGACCTTCAACACTCTCTCTATTCGACCACAGTGGTTCTCAGACTTTAACCAGCTCGTCCTGCATATTATCTCCACTATCTTCCTCGACGAATCGCCTTCCACAAGCTCAGTAACTAGAAAATGAAAAACAGTACTTTAATTTCAAACAAGATGAAATGAAACATGGGAGTGTGAAAGTAGTGTTGACTTCATACCGCGTGGTGGTTAAGGAATCAAAAGAGATAGCGTTGAAGAAAGAGGGAAAGTCAGGTTGTTTCTCCTTGACTTTGTAAGATAAAGTGGCTCTAAATCAAGAGGTAAAGAAAAAGGAAAATCAGCTGGGTTGTCCCAAAACTGAAAAAGTAAGTTGCGCTGAAAGATTCCTCACATGACAATCCCTGTGTATCAGATATAGAGTGGGGGGCTGCAAAGTTTGGGGTCAGAACTCAGAAGAGTAATCTGATAAAGCTGCGAGTATAAAGGTGGCTGAGATTTGGAACATTGAAAGAACCCACGAAAAAGATAGCAAGCCCAAAACCAGAAAACTGAGAAGCAAGTTTTTAGCATTACCAGCATGCTTGGAGAGATGATGAGTTTCAGCAGCTTCCCATTTGGTAAATTGCTCTCCACATTTGTGACAAGTGATAGTGGAACAGCCATTAGAATCAGTCTCAAGAGACATCCTATTGCTAGAATGAAGCCCACCACCACCATGCAAAGCTGACCCTTCTTTATCTGATAAAAGAAAAGGACTTGGAGATTTCCTTGGAGGAGTCGATGGTGTCCTAAAAGAAGGATTAAAGTAGTGCATTGTAGGGTGACCTCCGGGTCCCGGAGTCCCAGGCCTTAAAGTACCCACAAAGGTAGAGCCGCCGCTGCCATTATTACCGCCACCTCCACCTCCACCGCCGTTAGCTCCGCCGCCAACGCCATCTTGAAATCCTCCAAAACCAGTGATTTTAAGCTCACACCTAGAGTTGCTTAAAATCACTTCGTGGGTAATTGGGTTGAGGAACTCGCTGCTCCCAATGGATCTCGGACTGCAACTCGGTGGCTTCTCGAGATGCCTTTTGCTCCCATGGATCACATCTTTGAGATTTGCTATACTCCTCGAACACCCAGACCTACCAGCCCTTTTCGTCAAGATTGTGCTCAAGTGCTTTCTGGATTTCGGGTCATGAACTTCTGATGGCTCTGATTTGCAGTGTAGAGACCTCTTGAGAGAGAACCAGACTGTTGGCATATTATATCCCTAAAGCTTCCTTCTTCTTCTTTTTTCAGTGAAACTTCAATCTGAGTCCCAAGTTTACGAACTCCTCCATTTCGCTCTGTAGCATTTCTCGCTCGCAAAAGAACGCACCTTGTTTCCTTTCGCCATCTTGCCCTTCTTTTCGAAGTGAAAGCAGATAGAAAGATGAAATGAAAGATACCAGCACTATCTACTGTGAAATTTCGCTTTCTGCTTTAGGCAAAACACTCCCTTTTCCTGAAAATTCCTTCACGAAATGAAACCAGAAAGTTATGAATGAAAGGGAAATTTACATCGAACACCTCGAGAGCTTCGCTGTTACAAAAGTCGCCTTGAAGAGGATTGTGAATGCCGGTGCTGCGACAGCAAAAATTGCCAGAAGAGAGAGAAAAGGGGGGTGGGGGCTGAAATGAAATCCACAGGAAATGGATGACAGTTTTGCTCGGAAAAAATGAAGAATCTTAGGAGCTTGGCCTTAGAGAAGATGACAACAAACCTTGACAAACCCGTGTTCAGTAGCGCCCTTGTATTGTACTGCCCATTAAATGAGGCTTACCCACACTCTGATCAAAGTGCCAAATTCATCTAAAATACTTTTTCCCATTTCACTTGTTATTATTTTGGCCAACATTTCTTATTTATAGTTAATAGTGAGCCACAGAGTAAGCGATAATATTTATTTTTGAAACTTAAACGTATATTGAATTCTCCGTAACGTGATTAATGATTAAGAAAATCGCATTTCACGTTGTAATACAGTTTACCTTGTGAATATGACAAATCTCTGATCGGTATTTTGAAACGAAAGCACTTGAGCACATGTAGTTGAGCTCAATCGGAGGAGGACCACGCCTGTAGATCGCGGACTAAAATATATTATAGCATTGCTCAAACATAAAATAATTAGAATAGCAGACAATATTGGAATATAAATTGTCCTCGACCATGAGTTGTTTTGTTTTTTGCCTGTGGACGCTGAATAACACAACACCATATTATATCCAAACCGGGGCATGCACAGTTGAGCCCGTACAGCACCACGTTTAGATTTAAAAAAAAAATAAAATGAAATACTTGAATAAACTTTGTCAATTCGAAAAAGTTTTGGATTTGGAAGCATGATGCGAGACAACCAGGCCACCGAAATGTGTCAGTTTTTTCTTTTCTTTTTTTTTTTAACGAACAAATGTGTCGGTTAATTTACTTATGAATATGACTTCCAAACATCCCTTTAATTATTTTCCTCCATCATGTCCAGCAGGTATAGATTCGGACATTGCATTTAATATAAACATTAGGTGCTTATATCATTTAGATTGTTAAAATTTAAATTAATAATTTTAAATTCATACTTCATTTAAGGTGAATAATTAAATTTATTTAAAATATTGATATAGACTTTAACAATTTAAATAATACATGTACTTAATATTTATAATTACTAAATCCAAATCTCGTGTCTAATACTTCCTCCATGAACACATTTTTAGTGGTCTTGATTGCGCCATTATCAAAGGACAGTGCTTATTGATTCTTGCTTTCCAAAAGAAAAATATTAACACTTTCATCTCATGAGACATTAATTATTAATTAATAGACAAATTATTGCATTGCAAGAAGTATCTTATACTAATGTGATATCTAAATCCTGTTATGAAAAAAATAATTTACTCGGTTAAAATGATGTATTATTAAGATTGTAGAAGTGCCCCTATTTTTATATCCAAAAGAAGTGAACTCATTTGCTGGTTCAAAACAAATTTCAAAATATTTTATAATATACTGTGATATTTTTTAAAGAGATATATAAATGTCTTTTTTTTGTCTGAAGTATAAATGTCTTTTCAAGATATCAAAAGTACTTGAATGTACTCCCATTTTCTCAATTTATGGGTTATTTTTACATAAATATATATTTATTAATAAAAACTCATTAAATATATTTTATAATCTTATTTTTTAAAATAAAAATATAATTTTTTAAAAAATATTTTTTATTTAATATTTTATTTATAAAATAATATTGAAGAGTGAGCTTTGAGCATACAACTGTATTAAATATTTATTGAAAAGGCTTTATCATTAATGTAGTCCTACTTGGTTCAACTTGTGAATAATTGATAATTATACAAAACAGAATATTAAAAAATAAAATATAAGAAGAATGATAATATTAAAAAAGTATTATTAATAAAATTTTATTTTTATTAAAATATTTTACATTAAAAAATTATCATTAATAAAATTTCTCTCATAAGTGTCTAATAATAATTGGGAAGGGGAGAGTAGGTGTTAACCACAATTCATACAATTCATCCCATCCGCCCATTCTAGCGAGTCCTTGTCATTGAGAATTTGGGATAGTGAAGGTTTTATTTACTTATCTGTAAACCACGCATGATTTCTCAAGTTCATGTTATGTGCTCAAATTCTTTCAAAAAAATATGCAGTGCACTATTTATTTGTGATTAGTATTATGATAAGACTCACTACTATAAATTTTACTACTAGTTAAGACACTTTTTATAAACCAAGTTAATACATCGATAGCTTGAATTCAATTTTTATTGTTTACAGTAATACGAGGCTAGTCATTGGAATTTTTTTGCTAAGAAATATGCAAGACTATCTAAGTTCTGAAAACTAATAATAAAAAGTGAGTTGGTATGAACTTATGAAACAAGTGGATTTTTAAAAATGAAAAGAAATAGGACCAAATTGTGCTTAAATAATAAATTGGATAAAGTTTGTTGTGTATATTGCCTCGGCTTTAATGTTGATGTGATTTTTAATTATTTTATCAAAATTTAAAAAATATAATTAAATTATCAATTAAGAATTTATTTTACCTCTACCTTAAAATTGATCACAAAAATATATAAATGAGTCTTCAACTTATAATTAATTTTATTCCTCAACTTTAAATATTTCGTTACCTAATTGTCATTCTTCCATTAAGTGGGTCTCATTTGTATTTTTTTAATATTTTTATTATAAAATATTTATTTATGAGTCTCACAATTTATTTTTAATATTTTTTATGATATAAAAAATATTTCTCTCTCTCTCTCTCTCCCCTCATCCTTTCCGTTCTCTCTCTCCGGTACTCATCCTCAGCAACGCCATGACAACTCCGGTGACTGTTATGGATGGGTCGGACTAGCTTCAATGAAAGAGAACATCACTCGATGAGCATGGATGCCTCCTTGATCAAGTTGAACACGCACACACATACTGCCACCAGCCTCCTCACCTAGGTCATCTTCAATGTCATCTCTTCTTCCTCGAGCCTTCTATGATCATTGGGTTTCAAGGCATGATTAACCATGTTAGTATCGGCCAGTGACTGTTGCTTAATGGAATAAGGAGCTCGATCCAATCACAGCGATTGTCATCACAGGGGGTGAAAGTTTGGAGTTTGTTATAGCTATCATTGAAGTTCCAAGTTTGGATGAGGATACCGAAGGAGTCGACAACGATGGAGAGGGACCGAGTGTCGGACTAGACGATGAGGGGGCAGAGGGAGTTAGAAGTAACGTCTTAAAGGACAGAACGTGTAATGTCGTTGACTTTCATGGCCATATCATGGGGATTGAAGCGACAATGGCCTTTGGGTAGAGAGATGTTTGAGGGGCCAAAGTTGATGCTGTCGAAAATGATGACCTTGTTCTTCATCATTTGCATATGCATGGCCAAAATGCCCATGCTTTGGTGCAGGAGAATCCAGTGGCCACTGCCTCCACCCCTGGCATTGGTGGTGGCAGAGAGAGACGATGTCATAGGAGGGACAAGGAAAGCATGGAGTATAATGTAGAAGGAGAAGATGATGTGTACCTTTTCCCCTCTCTCTCCTCCATAAGCACCCTAACCCTTTCTCTTCCATTTCTTTCACTTTCTTCAGACTCTTTGTTATGATGCACACACACACACGCATACAAGACATCCCTGTTATGATATAAGTGTTTGATTTTAAGAGCATGGGTCAGTCATAGAAGCATTATTATACATAAAGTTTGACCATTTGCTTCATAAAAATTATAGAGAGAATTTTACAATGAATGGAAGTGAGAGTGACAGTCCCAGGTTGAGCTTTGTGTCATTAAAGCAGCATTATTAAGATAATGTGTGAGTTCTCACATTCCAGTAAAGGCATTGTTACAATATATGGAGAGGAGAGAGGGAGGTGATGGTGAAGGTGCGTATGGAGGAGAGAGAGGGTAGAGGGAGAATGGATGGAGGAGAGAGAGGGAAAATGGCAAGAAGGGACGAGGGAGAAGGAAACGAACAGAGGGAAAAAGAGGAGGGAGGGAGAATAGGGAGAGAGGTAGGAGAGAGAGGCCTTTTTTAAATTGTAAAAATATATAAAAATGATGGAGCCTACTAACAAATTAAAAATTCAAAGAATTAGAGGAGTTAACATTGGGGATATGGAGATAATGAATCTTTGAGAGTGGAGGACAAAATTGATCAGTTTGGAATCATTTGTAATCAATTTAAAGATAAAATTGACTTTTAATTTTTAAATTATTGATTATGTAAAAATTATTAATTTATCTTTATTAAATATATCATTCTACTCACTCTCTCATATGTAATCGTTTATCTTATTACACTAAGCCAAACTGCTTCACTTTGCTTTGCTTTTGAGGCATGTTAGCCTAGATTAAGGAAGCATCTTTGAATGGGGCCTCAAATCAATGCGGTTTTACATTTTAGTGTTACATTCTTCTTAAGCATTATTTTTTTCTTCTACTGGTGCAAGATACTTACATGCTTGTTAACTATTTTGCTTCTGTTTCATTTACTATTTTCTGAGTTTCAAAAATCTTCACTCTCCCAATCCTTTTAGAATCATTACAAACTTATGTACTGTAGACTGATTTCTTTTTATTAATTGATCTTTTTATAAAAAATGTAATCTTTTATCCCATTCATAAAAACTGTAAAAATAAACATTTGGAAGAAATCAATAAACAATCTATCCAGGAAAAATAATAATAAAAGCTAACTAAAATATATAAATGATAATTAGGTCTCTCAAAATATTATAATTCCTCCAAAAAGCTTTGTAACATTAATGATTTTTAGGTTAAATAATTAAATTGCCTTTTATTTAAAATAAAAGTAATAACAGGTTCACATAGATAGTTGTAATTTCTTATTTTTTTCTATTCATAAGATAAAAGTTATGATTCTTTAAATAAAAATTATAATTAATTATTTTTAGAACTTGAATTTTAATGATAAAAAAAATTTATGTGAAAAGTTATGATTTATTGTTTAATTCATGCGATTTATAGAATAAAAATTGTGATTATTTAAATAAAAATTATGATTGGTTAATTTCACAATGTTGACTTCAATGATAATTAAAATTTCATGTAAAAATTTATAATTTTTTATTTAATTTTTGTGATTCACATAATAAAAATTTTAATTTCTTAAACAAATATTATGATTAAGAAAATGAAACTAGACTCATTATTTTAAAAATATTTAATTATTTAATCTAAAACTATTAATATAAACAAAGTTTGACTGATTTTAAAAGAATTATAATATTTTTAAAAATTTAATTTTTATTTATAT